TTCTTCTCTGATTGCTGTGGCTAGGACTTCCAAAACTATGTTGAATAAGAGTGGTGAGAGTGGGCAACCTTGTCTTGTTCCTGATCTTAGTGGAAGTGCTTTCAGTTTTTCACCATTGAGGATGATGTTTGCTGTGGGCTTGTCATATATGGCCTTTATTATGTTGAGGAAAGTTCCCTCTATGCCTACTTTCTGCAGGGTTTTTATCATAAATGGGTGTTGAATTTTGTCGAAAGCTTTCTCTGCATCTATTGAGATGATCATATGGTTTTTCTCCTTCAATTTGTTAATATGGTTTATCACATTGATAGATTTGCATATATTGAAGAATCCTTGCATTCCTGGAATAAGCCCCACTTGATCATGGTGTATGATCCTTTTAATGTGCTGTTGGATTCTGTTTGCTAGTATTTTGTTGAGGATTTTTGCATCTATGTTCATCAGTGATATCGGCCTGTAGTTTTCTTTCTTTGTGACATCCTTGTCTGGTTTTGGTATCAAGGTGATGGTGGCCTCGTAGAAGGAATTTGGGAGTGTTCCTCCCTCTGCTATATTTTGGAAGAGTTTGAGAAGGATAGGTGTTAGCTCTTCTCTAAACGTTTGATAGAATTCACCTGTGAAGCCATCTGGTCCTGGGCTTTTGTTTGTTGGAAGATTTTTAATCACAGTTTCAATTTCAGTGCTTGTGATTGGTCTGTTCATATTTTCTATTTCTTCCTGATTCAGTCTTGGCAGGTTGTGCATTTCTAAGAATTTGTCCATTTCTTCCAGATTGTCCATTTTATTGGCATAGAGTTGCTTGTAGTAATCTCTCATGATTTTTTTTATTTCTGCAGTGTCAGTTGTTACTTCTCCTTTTTCATTTCTAATTCTATTGATTTGAGTCTTCTCCCTTTTTTTCTTGATGAGTCTGGCTAGTGGTTTATCTATTTTGTTTATCTTCTCAAAGAACCAGCTTTTAGTTTTATTGATCTTTGCTATCGTTTCCTTCATTTCTTTTTCATTTATTTCTGATCTGATTTTTATGATTTCTTTCCTTCTGCTAGCTTTGGGGTTTTTTGGTTCTTCTTTCTCTAATTGCTTGAGGTGCAAGGTTAGGTTGTTTATTCGAGATGTTTCCTGCTTAAGGTGGGCTTGTATTGCTATAAACTTCCCCCTTAGAACTGCTTTTGCTGCATCCCATAGGTTTTGGGTCATCGTGTCTCCATTGTCATTTGTTTCTAGGTATTTTTTTATTTCCTCTTTGATTTCTTCAGTGATCACTTCATTATTAAGTAGTGTATTGTTTAGCCTCCATGTGTTTGTATTTTTTACAGATCTTTTCCTGTAATTGATATCTAGTCTCATGGCGTTGTGGTCAGAAAAGATACTTGATACAATTTCAATTTTCTTAAATTTACCAAGGCTTGATTTGTGACCCAAGATATGATCTATCCTGGAGAATGTTCCATGAGCACTTGAGAAAAATGTGTATTCTGTTGTTTTTGGATGGAGTGTCCTATAAATATCAATTAAGTCCATCTTGTTTAATGTATCATTTAAAGCTTGTGTTTCCTTATTTATTTTCATTTTGGATGATCTGTCCATGGGTGAAAGTGGGGTGTTAAAGTCCCCTACTATGAATGTGTTACTGTCGATCTCCCCTTTTATGGCTGTTAGTATTTGCCTTATGTATTGAGGTGCTCCTATGTTGGGTGCATAAATATTTACAATTGTTATATCTTCTTCTTGGATCGATCCCTTGATCATTATGTAGTGTCCTTCTTTGTCTCTTGTAATAGTCCTTATTTTAAAGTCTATTTTGTCTGATATGAGAATTGCTACTCCAGCTTTCTTTTGGTTTCCATTTGCATGGAATATCTTTTTCCATCCCTTTATTTTCAGTCTGTATGTGTCTCTAGGTCTGAAGTGGGTCTCTTGTAGACAGCATGTATAAGGGTCTTGTTTTTGTATCCATTCAGCCAATCTGTGTCTTTTGGTGGGAGCATTTAGTCCATTTACATTTAAGGTAATTATCGATATGTATGTTCCTATTCCCATTTTCTATATTGTTTTGGGTTCGTTATTATAGGTCTTTTCCTTCTCTTGTGTTCCTTGTCTAGAGAAGTTCCTTTAGCATTTGTTGTAAAGCTGGTTTGGTGGTGCTGAACTCTCTCAGCTTTTGCTTGTCTGTAAAGGTTTTAATTTCTCCATCAAATCTGAATGAGATCCTTGCTGGGTAGAGTAGTCTTGGTTGCAGGTTTTTCTCCTTCATCACTTTCAGTATGTCCTGCCACTCCCTTCTGGCTTGTAGGGTTTCTGCTGAGAGATCAGCTGTTAACCTTATGGGGATTCCCTTGTGTGTTATTTGTTGTTTTTCCCTTGCTGCTTTTAATATGCTTTCTTTGTATTTAATTTTTGACAGTTTGATTAATATGTGTCTTGGCGTATTTCTCCTTGTATTTATCCTGTATGGAACTCTCTGTGCTTCCTGGACTTGATTAACTATTTCCTTTCCCATATTAGGGAAGTTTTCAACTATAATCTCTTCAAATATTTTCTCAGTCCCTTTCTTTTTCTCTTCTTCTTCTGGAACCCCTATAATTCGAATGTTGGTGCGTTTAATGTTGTCCCAGAGGCCTCTGAGACTGTCCTCAGTTCTTTTCATTCTTTTTTCTTTATTCTGCTCTGCAGTAGTTATTTCCACTATTTTATCTTCCAGGTCACTTATCCGTTCTTCTGCCTCAGTTATTCTGTTATTGATCCCATGTAGAGTACTTTTAATTTCATTTATTGCGTTGTTCATCGTTGCTTGTTTCATCTTTATTTCTTCTAGGTCCTTGTTAACTGTTTCTTGCATTTTGTCCATTCTACTTCCAAGATTTCGGATCATCCTTCCTATCATTATTCTGAATTCTTTTTCAGGTAGACTGCCTATTTCCTCTTCATTTGTTAGGTCTGGTGCATTTTTATCTTGCTCCTTCATCTGCTGTGTGTTTTTCTGTCTTCTCATTTTGCTTATCTTACTGTGTTTGGGGTCTCCTTTTTGCAGGCTGCACGTTCGTAGTTCCCGTTGTTTTTGATGTCTGTCTCCAGTGGCTAAGGTTGTTTCAGTGGGTTGTGTAGGCTTCCTGGTGGAGGGGACTAGTGCCTGTGTTGTGGTGGATGAGGCTGGATCTTGTCTCTTTAGTGGGCAGGTTCACGTCTGGTGGTGTGTTTTGGGGTGTCTGTGGCCTTATTATGATTTTAGGCAGCCTCTCTGCTAATGGGTGGGGTTGTGTTCCTGTTTTGCTAGTTGTTTGGCATAGGTTGTCTAGCACTGTGGATTGCTGGTTGTTGAGTGAAGCTGGGTGCTGGTGTTAAGATGGAGGTCACTGGGAGATTTCCGCCGTTTAATATTATGTGGAGCTGGGAGGTCTCTTGTTGACCAGTGTCCTGAAGTTGGCTCTCCTACCTCAGAGGCAGAGCCGTGACTCCTGGCTGGAGCACCAAGAGCCTTTCATCCACACGGCTCAGAATAAAAGGGAGAAAAAGTAGAGAGAATTAGTAGAAGTATGAGGAAAGAAAGAAGGAAAGGAGGAAAGGAAGGAAGGAAGAAAGAAGCAAAGAAGGAAAGACAGGAGGGAGGGAGGGAGGGAGGAAGGAAGGAAGGAGGGAAAGAAGGAAAAAAGAAAGAAAGAAGATACAGTAAAAATAAAATAAAGTATAATATAGTTATTGAATTAAAAAATATTTAGGAAAAAAAAAAGGAACGGATAGAACCTTAGGACAAATGTTGGAAGCAAAGCTATACAGAGAAAATCTTACACAGAAGCATACACATACACCTTCACAAAAAGAGGTAAAGGGGGAAAAATCATAAATCTTGCTCTCAGAGACCACCTCCTCAATTTGGGGTGATTCGTTGTCTAAAGGAGGGAAGGAAGGAAAGAAAGAAAGAAAGAACGAAGGTAAAGTATAATAAAGGTATTACAAATAAAATTAATTATTGAGAAAAAAAAATTTTTTTAAAAAACCATGGACGGATAGAGCCCTAGGACAAATGGTGGAAGCGAGAGTATACAGACAAGACCTCACACAGAAGCATACACGTACACATTCACAAAAAGAGGAAAAGGGAAAAAAATCATAGATCTCGCTCCTAAATTCCACCTCTTCAATTTGGGATCATTCCTTGTCTATTCAGGTATTCCATAGATGCAGGGTATATCAAGTTGATTGTGGAGCTTTAATCCGCTGCTTCTGAGGCTGCTGGGAGAGATTTCCCTTTCTCTTCTTTGTTCTCACAGCTCACAGGAGCTCAGCTTTGGATTTGGCCCTGCCTCTGCGTGTAGGTTGCTGGAGGGCGTCTCCAATTATTTTTTTAATTTAACCTATGCTTTAGTCATGGATGTTAAATGTATTTGTTACTTGAAATAATGCTACAATAAGTATTCCTGTGTTTAAGTCATTTTGCGTAAGTGTGAGTCTGTCTATAATTGAATTTTTAGAAGTGGAATTTCTGGGTCAACCCATGCCTCCGTATTTCACAGAAGTACCAATTATGACTTGCTTTTTATTTTTGTGGGCATGAGGAGTAGGAGATAGAATGCTGGTCATTTTAGAAAGTTTCCTTTATCTTCTCTTTTGTCACACGGCCACACTGAGAATCAAAAGCATTCATGTTTATCCTGTAAAAGTTGGGCTTTACATTTATTAGGCAAGATACATATGCTTGGAAGAATGGGAGTTTTGCACGTTTGGGAACATAAGCACGTTTGTTGGAACTTCAGTCATTAAGGAAAATACATTTGCCACATAGACGCATGTGTCGTACGCTTTAGTATTGTGCTTCCCTCCTGTAGTTATGTTCAAGATGACATTTCAGAATCATTGCTGTTAAACATCTCATTAGTGACAGGGTTGAGTGAAAAGTGCATGTGTTTCAAACACTGAAGATTTTGTACGAATCTGTTATTCCAAACCCAGGACTGATTTGACTCCTGAATAACATACTACTAATTTCACAATTTCTGTTGCAGTCTAGTGTGAAAAAAGCCAGTGTTAAAATTCTGAAAAATTTTGATGAAGCGATAATTGTGGATGCTGCAAGTCTGGATCCAGAATCTTTGTATCAACGGACATATGCAGGGTGAGCATCTTTTTTATTTTTTAATTTAAAAATTGTTTTCTACTTTCTTGAATATACCTGCAATGCACTAGAGCATGGTTAAGGGTGAAGGCTCAGGAGTGACTTCCTGGGTTTCAGTCTTGGCTCAGCCGCTTATGGCAAGCTACCTAACCTCTTTGTGTCTCAGGTTTTTCATCTGTAAAATGAGGATAATATTCCTGCTTCCTTGGGCTGGTGGGATTAAATGAGATAATACGTGAAAAGCATTTAAAACATTGCCGGATGTCAGTGAACACTCAGTAAATATCATTGACATCATTATTCTACCACCATATACGACTCTGATGAGTGTCACGTTTACATAGTGTGTTTTAGGCTATCTCTTCCACATTTCATTGGATTCATATGTTAGCTATTTCAAAGTCTCTGTCTTAAAACCAAAACTAAACTACAAAGATGCCGATATCATTCATCATGGACTGTATAACTATTACTGTTATCCCTCAGTAACTGCAGGGGATTGATTCCAGGACCCCCTCGGATACCAAAATCTGAGGATACTCAAGTTCCTTATAGGAGGTGGCCTAGTATTTTAAGCCTGTATAAATCATCTCTGGATTACTTATAATACCTAATAAAATGTCAGTGCTATGTAGATAGTTGTAAATACAATGTAAATGCTATGTAAATGGTTGGAATGCACAGCAAATTCAAGTTTTGCTTTTTGGAACTTTCTGGCTTTTTTTTCCTAAAGTTTTCAGTCGGCAGTTGGTTGAGTCTGTGGATGTGGAACCTGCAGATACAGAGAACCAACTATACTTGGAAAAATGGAATAAAATGATTCCTTTGTATTTAAGAATTAACTTGGCTGTTTATTTTTTCCTGTAACAGAAAGAAAGTGATTCCTGTGTTACAGCACTTCTTGATCCTTACCACAGATCAAATCATAAAATCACTTCCTCTTCCCTAAAGATGGCTTGAAAACACAGAAACCTGTGTAAAGGCATGATTACCGCACCCCAGTCCTGGCAGTACCATAAAAAAGGGATTTCAACATGTTTAATTGCTTTTACCAGAAAGTAAATTGATATTTGGGAGACCAAGAAGTCTGAAAAATACTTTGAAGTAAATAGAAGGTTATTTTGACCACATTGTCTTCAGCTGTATCAGTGTTGTGGTAATCTTTATTTCTTATTTTAGGAAATGGCGGACAGTAAGCCTAAATGAGTTAATTCCCAAAGATGATATTTATTCTTAAGGAATGGTTGGTTCATTTATTTCAAACCTGACTTAAGAAAGTCTATCAATTGCAAGATGTTTTACTTCTATAGTTTTTTTTGTGTGTAAAATAAATATATTTTAATTTATAAAATTTAAATTTGTAAAATATATATATAGTGTGTAATATACATATTTTTTAAATTATAAAATGGGTCATAAATAGAGAAATAATTATTTTTCTCCATCTTTAGAGATAGTTTTCAGTGTTTGTTTTAGTTTTATGGTTTTAGCATCTTCCTGAAATTTTTCTAAAGGCAAACAAATTTGTATCAGTTGCTATATTGGCACCCATATATTCATTGATGACTTATTAGGAAGGCTGTCTCTAAAATAAGATGCACTTTGCCAGAAATGAAGTAATATATAGGCATCATAGGATTCTTTTTTCTTCTTTTAACTTTTAATTACAAATATATTAATCTCTTCTTATAAAAATTAAATTTACAGATAAGGCTAATGTGCCCTTTGATTACACACCAATGCTTATTTCCCCCCTTCCTTCTCAGGATAGTCACTGTTATGTTATTGTGTATATTTTTGTTTGCTTATTTTTATGTAACTGGTGTTATACTCTATGCTGTATCTTGTGTTTTCACTCATAGTGAGTTTGGAGATTTTTCTGTGTTAGTCTGTACATATTACCTCATTTTTAACTATGTTGTAGTATTCCATAAATAATATTAATTATAGCTCATAACTGTGGCAAAATCTTCCGTAATGTGGTATGTTACTATTTGGCTATTTTGGTATTAATGGGTTATTTAAATGGCTTGCAGTTTTACTGTGATACACAGTATAGCAAAGACTTCCTTTTATATTTCCTTGTACCAAGAAGCAGATTTAAAATTTTCATAGCCCTTAACCAGTTTACAGTTTACCTTTAAAAGGATCTGTACATTTTACATTCTTACCAATCATTAATAAAGTTACTAATTTTCCCCACATCCTTGTCAACAATAAATAATATCAGACTTTAAATGTTTTACCAATCTGGGTTTGTTGCTTATGAGATTGAGCTTCTCTTGTCATGTTTGTTGGTTGTTCAGGTTTTTCTTCTGTGAATTGACTATCATCTCTTCTTCACATTTTTCTGTTGGGTAATTTCTTAGTGGTTTGTTGGAATTCTGTATGTTTATGGTTATTAATTATCAGTTACTGCATCTATTAAAAATAAGACCTCACTGTATTTTTTGCCTTTTAACTTTGCTTTCTATTACTATAGCTTTATAATGTATATAATTATATTTTTATCTTGTTAGGGCAAGTCTTACCTTTTTGTTTCTTTTACAGAATTATCTTGGCTATGCTTGTGCCTTTTCTGTATGAATTTTAGAACTGTGAATTATCTGTTAACTCATGTTTCATAAACTTTGAGGATTTTGAATGGAATTGCATTGAATTAAAGATTGCTTTCTGTGGGGACAGTTCTTTTTGAAATTAGCCCCACTTAGAATAACATGGGGTAGATATAAATTGTATTTCTAGCTTTCTAGATCTAGAAAAGATGCTTAAAAATTATTATTTTTTTTAATTTTAAATTGATTTTTAGAAAGTATGTTCTTTTCATACTTATTTAGGAAGATGACATTTGGAAGAGTTAGTGACTTGGGGCAGTTCATCCGAGAATCTGAGCCTGAACCTGATGTAAAGAAATCGAAAGGTTTGTGGTGTTTTTATACATTGTATCAAGCCCTTACTCACATTAGTTACTGACTGTAAGTAAAGGATCGTTGAAGATTTAAACTGTCTATTTTGCCAAATAACTGCCATCTCTTGACCTTGTGTTTATAGTCACGAGCGAGTGCAAGGGCTTCGTGTAATCAGGTCTCAGTACAGTCTCTCTCTGAATCAGAAGTTACTGAACTTGCTTTACCGTTACAGAAGGCGCATCTACATGAAAAGATACTCTTCACCTTTGATTTAAAGGCAAAATACCCAATCCAGGTTGGACTTGAGGCTTATCTTGATACCCTTTATTTTACTAAATTTCCTCTAAATTGCTGAAAGTTATTATGAAATATATGTGGAAAATATTAATAGGTTGAAATTGAAATCCTTTGTTTAATCAGCAAAAGAGTGCTTGGTTAATTCCAAGAGTTAAACACAGACATACTCTTTGTGACTGAGCTCAGCTTCCAAACAGTTGGTTTACACAGGAAGATTTAGGAAACCACTGTGGGTCCATTCGATAATATCTAGAAAATTTTCAGTGTGATTGGATTGACAGTATTATCTTGAGTAAAAGATACTAACTTTTGTTAGAAGAAAATGTTCCATTTTGATAAGTGTGTTTAAAATTAAGAGCTATTGGCAGTCTTCCTATTGAATTGAACTGCATTTCTATTCTGTTTATCTTATTTTTTAATGCACGAATTGTTTAGGTAATGATTTGCACCACATTTTTTTTTAATAGCTACTAACTTTAGATTTTGTTTGTTTGTTTATTTTTGGCTGTGTTGGGTCTTGGTTGCCACGCGGGCTTTCTCTAGTTGCAGCTAGCGGGGGCTACTCTTCGTTGTGGTGCGCGGACTTCTCATTGTGGTGGCTTCTCTTGTTGTGGAGCACAGGCTCTAGGCGCGCAGGCTTCAGTAGTTATGGCACGTGGGCTTCAGTAGTTGTGGCTCATGGGCTCTAGAGCGCAGGTTCAGTAGTTGTGGCTCATGGGCTTAGTTGCTCCGTGGCATGTGGGATCTTCCCGGGCCAGGGCTCGAACCCGTGTCTCCCACATTGGCGGATTCTTAACCACTGCACCACCAGGGAAGCCCTGCACCACTTTTATGTTGATGAATAATCTACTTTGGGGTCAGATATAAATTAACAGAGTAAACAAAAAGTGCAACAGTTGTTGAAATAATTTAAACGAAGGAAGGGCCTGTTAACCTATTTGTCTTTATTAGTTTATCCAAAAAATTGATTTTATTTCCTATTTAGCCAGAGAATTCTGAGGTACACAGTTGGGAAAGTGTAAAGACCGAAGGAAGTCTGCACAGCTTATTCTGTAAATAATTATTGAGTGCCTCTGTGCACTCAGACTCACGGGGCAGTTAGAAGATACAGAGCCTGTTGTTAAGAAACTTACAGTCCAGTAGTGTCTTTTATTGGGTAGAAGTTGAATACTAGGAAGAGATCAGTGGTAGCCTAGGTGTAGAGAAAGTGCTGGACAACCTCTGGAGGTATCGGTCAGGAAGGCCTCCACTGTCATCAGGTAGCTTCTGTCAGAGACGGTAATGGGGTCCCCAGTAATAATAGAGTCTCTGAGCTGTTTGGGTTTTTTTTCTGAAGCTGGTCTTATTCCTTTGACAGCTCATGAGGTGCTGCTGCTCCAGAGAATAGGTGTTGGGTGTTTGCAGTTTGTTTTTGTATTATATGAATTAAGATATATTAAAGATATATGAGTAAAGATGAAGGTAAGATGTACAAAAAACTTCCGCAAATCACTGTCTCTGCTTATTCTATTCATTCAGTCTCTTCATATTATTCATTTGTTCATTCATTCTAACATTTGAGTGCCTACTATATGCATCTACTGCTCTAAATACTGGGAAGAAAATAAGATTCCTGCCCTCATGGAACTAACGTTATAGTGGAGGGACAGTAAACAGATAAATACAGTGTGTGTGTGTGTTTGTCTGTCTGTGTTTATACACAGACATATAAGCAGAGTGAGAGACTGGAAGAGTGGTGGGTAGTGCTGTCTTAGAAGTGGTTGTCAGGAAAGGTCTAACTGAGGAAGTAGCATTTTGAGTAGACACCTGAGCAGGACGGGGGACTAAGCCCTGGCTCATTCGAATCGTAGATGATGCATCTGTGGGTACCGCCTCCTTGTTCTGCAGGTGAAGAAGTTGAGGATCAGGGAAATGGTAACTCGTTACGGATCACAGAGCAGATAGAGCGCAGCCTTGAGCTTTGGTTCAGAATACCACGTTTGTTTGCAGTTCAGCTCTGCTTCGTCCCCCTTCATCTCCTTGCTGAGGGCAGCTGCAAAGAATGTTTGTCATTTACCAACCTGTAGTTTCATTTTGGATTTTAAAGCTCTGATAGTAGAGCACAGAAGAAAGGGCTATGTTTTGGGGCGGGTGTATCTCAGAAGCTTCTGAGAATGTGAGAACTTTGCTTTCAGGGCAAGCAAGGTAATTTTAAAAGTTACCTTCACATCATCTAGGAGAAAGTGTAACAAGAAGGAATGGTAGAGGATGTTGTGAGAAGGTAGTCCCTGCAGTGGCAGTCTCCTCATGCACCAGTGCAGTGGTGGGAGATAGAGCCACGTGTACGCTGTGAAAGCCCGCGCATGTCATACTAGGAAGCCTGCGGTACTGTCTGTTGAGCAGCAAAGATTTCTAAGCAGAGTGCAGTGAGATGCTTTTTTCTGGCTGTAGTCTGCGAATGAATTGGAGTTGGGGAGAGACTGGTATCAGAGATTCAGGTAGTAGTCAGGTAGTATAATTTGCTAGTAATGTAGATAGAAGAAAAAGAGGACCCGAGGATAGGTAGTGGTAGCAGGAACTAGAAGGTCAGATTTATAAGACTTCCAAGGGGGAATTCAGGAGACTACATCCAAGGTGGAATTTGGTGACAGATTTCATACGGAGAGCAGATGAGTTTTCTAATATCGGTTCTCTAGGTGAAGCGTTACGATGTTAATTTTTAATACAGGATTAAATTAATTTCTGAGATAGAGGCTACAAGAAAAAGAGTACATGGGAGATAGAAGAGCTCAACTCGGAACATGTTATGTTTGAGGTGCCTTAGGACAATTTGTAAGTATTGGTTTGACACCCAATGACAAGTTTTTGAGTTATTTGCATTTTGAAGGAAGTTAAAGCCACAGGAGGGGATGAGATGCCCCAGAGAGAAAGTGCCGAACGGAATGGAATCCTGATGAAGCTCCTTGTTAAAGGGGGCAGGGATGCACAGGAGTCAAAGACATTAGAGGGCATTAGAAGAGGAGGAGGAAGTGTTCACAAGTACGCTGCCAACAGGGTGACTGCAGGGGAGCCCGAGGACAGAGCATTGCGGCAGGGGTGAGACTACAGGCAGAGTATGTAAAGTTGTGGCCCTGCTGGCTCTGCTTGGCTATAAAATTTAACTAGATCAGTGTTCAAACTTTTAGCTAATAATACAAAACATTGGGTTTCCCTGGTGGCTCAGTGGTTAAGAATCCACCTGCCAAGGCAGGGGACACGGGTTCGAGCCCTGATCCGGGAAGATCCCACATGCCGCGGAGCACCTGAGCCCGTGTGCCACAGCTGCTGAGCCTGCGCTCTAGAGCCTGCAAGCCACAACTGCTGAGCCCACGTGCTGCAACTACTGAAGCCCACACGCCTACAGCCCGTGCTCCGCAGCAAGAGAAGCTACCACAATGAGAAGCCCACATGCCGCAATTAAGAGTAGCCCCAGCTCGATGCAACTAGAGAAAGCCTGTGCACAGCAACGAAGACCCAACACAGCCAAAAATAAATAGATAAATAAATAATAAATTTGTAATAATAATTTTTAAAAAAAGAAAGCCATTGTTTTAAAAAATAAATAAAATAAAAATATATTAAGGGGAAAGGATCCAGGTTTTGTTTTTTTTCATGAATGCTACAGTTTACTATAGCGTATCCCAGTCATTGAACTAATCAGGATCTTGCCTAAGAAATAATCTACCAACCACTTAGTTTAAGGCAAAGTTAGGGTGTGAGCCTATATGTATTAATGAAAGGATAAGCTGTGTATTTTATACCTGGAAATAGAGGCTAGCCTACGTCCTTGGTGACTCCTCAGCATCTAGAGTACAGATGTAGATAGACTTGTGTGTCTCCTGGGAAGTTGAGGTGTATTATGGCCTAGACAGAGCATGGCTGTTTAAAACTCTGATCTTACCCAGCAAATTTACACAGACCAGAGATCCAGCATGTAGCAGCACAATCTGCGCTGGAAGCCCTTTTGTAGGAGCTGATGCAAAAGATTGATGTACATGACATCTCCTGACGTACTGCTAGATTCTTATCTCAAGACCAGATCCTCGTCATGGTTTTATTTGATCTTTGAATGTTTACTGCAGATGTAACACTACATGATAGTTTCTTTCATCAAGTGAGGAGAATAGAAGAAACATCTAGAGCTCTAAAACAGCTTTTCAGAGTTTTTCAAACCATAATATTTGCAAGTTAAATACTCTGCTATGGAGCCAATATAATCAGTTTTTATTAATGGTAATATTCCTTAATTTTGGGGTGAGGTTGTACCCCCAAAATAGTATCTTTTAAAAAAGATAACATCTTTAAAAAAAGAATATCTTTTAAAAGCTGGGAAATAGATGTTTATATAAGAGCATTTTTTAATGTAAAATTATGCATGAGGTCTACATTCAACTTTGGCTTTGTTTACTAGGATCCATGTTCTCTCAAGCTATGAAGAAATGGGTGCAAGGAAATACTGATGAGGTAAATTCTGCTTTTAGCGTAAACAGATTCCTGTTTATAAGGGACACTTACTCTAAGCAAGGTTTCGAGTTTTCTCTTTCCTTAGTTCCCTTGCTTAAGCAGCATGGTACACCCTGCTTCCTTATCTAGGAGATAACAAGAAGGTGTGGGCCCTCCCTAGCATCTCACAGTTGCCTGGTAGAGGCAGTGGAGGTATCCTCAGTCCAGAGACTCTGGCCAGTGAAAAATATCCAAGCAGTCAAGGTTCCATTAATCAGCAGAGGCACCAGTAACAGTGTAGAAACAAAAGCTCAGTGTTTCCTTCCTCGCTGTCTGTTACACTTTCAGAAGTAGAGGCTTGCTTTTTGAATAGTTAAGTACATTGAAAGATGAGAGTGGGAAAGAAAGACGTTTTGACCACCTAACGTGAAAATAGTCATGATGTCGGATAGACAGTGAAGAGCATGTTAATATATCACAACCAGAGTGTGGCCCGGGTCCTTTCATACATGGGGACGTGCTTCTTCCCAAATAAGTAGAAATGATATGCATATACAGGTGTGTTTAGAACATGAATAATGTTTGCTTATTCTGCTAGTGAATAACCATCATCAACAGTTTAATTCCTTTTATAGGCCCAGGAAGAGCTAGCTTGGAAGATTGCTAAAATGATAGTCAGTGACGTTATGCAGCAGGCACAGTGTGATCAGCCGTTGGAGAAGTCCACAAAGGTAAGGAGAACTTGTGTTCTGATCTAGCGTGTGTAAAACTGGAGAGAATTAGATCCCAGACGCACACAAATTTAAAAGGGCATAAGGGAGCTTCTGCTTCTGCCGTTGAAGGGTTAACTGCTATAGGAATTGCCCTCTCATTATAAACAACTAGAAAACTGACAAACTAAATGAAACAGCTATTTCCAGATATTAGACAACACGCAGTAGAGGACTTTGATCCTTGAAAGGAAGGTAACATTGAGATGATCCCTAGTTCACTTCCTGGAAGCAGTTTCCAAAGTGTAGGGAGGACAAACTGTAAGCTTTCAATGAATTTTAAAGGATTGAAAGCATACAGTTTCTTCTCTGACCATAAAGGAATTAAACAAGAAATCAGTAACAGAAAGATACATGGAGGGAATTCCCTGGCTGTCCTGTGGTTAGGATTCTGGGCTTTCACTGCTGAGGGCCTGGTTTCAGTCCCTGGTCGGGGAGCTAGGATCTCACAAGCTGTGTGGCACAGCCAGAAAAAAATAAAAGAGAAAGAAAGATATGTGGAAAATCCCCAAATATTTTGAAATTAACATACTTCTGAGTAACCCATTAGTCAAAGAAGAAATCAAAAGGAATATTAGAAAATATTTTGGACTGAAAACACAACATAGTAGAATCTGCCCTCCCTATTCGTGGGCTCCACATCTGAAGGTTTCACATCCATGGATTCAACCAGCCACGAATCAAAAATATATTAAAAAAAATTTTTTTCCATAAAGTTCCAAAAAGCAGAACTTGAATTTGCCATGGCCTGGCAACTATTTACATAGCGTTTGCATTGAATTAGGTATTATAAGTAAGCTAGAGGTGATTTCAGATACACAGGATGAGGTGTGTAGGTTATATGCAAACACTGTGCCATTTTATGTAAGGCGCTTGAGCATTCTCGGATTTCGGTATCTGCAGGGGTCCTGGAACCAATCCCCCACCATTACTAAGGGACAACTATATTTGTGGGATACTGCTAAAGCAATTCTTATAGGTAAATTTATAGCATTAAATATTTATATTAGAAAAGAGGAAAAGTCACAGTCTTCTATCTTAAGAAACTAGAAAATGAGTAAATGAAACCCAAAGAAAGCAGAAAGAAGGAAGTAATAAAGATAAAGGTGAATATCGATTACTTTTTTTTTTTGGATCTACTAAGTCATTTACACCTTCCATTTTGTTGTTGCCTCTTCTCTCACTTTTCCCTTTCATGTGACTTTGGTTTTTTTGTTTGGTTTTTTGTTTGTTTGTTTGTTTGCTTTGCGGTACGCGGGCCTCTCACTGCTGTGGCCTCTCCTGTTGTGGAGCACAGGCTCCAGACGCGCAGGTCCAGCGGCCATGGCTCACGGGTCCAGCCGCTCTGCGGCATGTGGGATCCTCCCGGACCAGGGCACGAACCCGTGTCCCCTGCATCAGCAGGCGGACTCTCTGGGTTGTTTTTTTAAGTACTACTTTAGGAAGGAGTGAATTGAATGGATGTGATCAATGTGCTATCTTTACCTGGAGGTCAACAACAGTAATCATTAGGAAATTCTGACTCGCCCCCAACTGAATACTCTGTTTTTCTATGGCTTCACCAGCTGTGCCCACAAGAGCCACACAAATAACCCAGCAAATTGGAGGCAGCCACTTAGCACCCCCAGTTATCTCTTCAGGCAAAGACTCCCAGTTCCTCCACCACCTTTGCTTTCTGTAACTTGAGTTGACTCACAAAGACTTCATGTGATAGGAGAACCTCTGCTCAGACTCTTTGTGAAGGTGTTAAACTCTTCTGTCTACTTGATCAGGAGTTAGGAACACTATGTTAGTTACCTGTGTTCAGATGGAGGCGTGAACTTAGATTTGGGTCCAGCATCACCTTTCCTTGCTAACTTTGTAGCCAGCTTCTTACTCTGTTATTACCAGAGCTTGGTTTAATTTTGAACTTTTCACTGAGCTGATTCATACCAAAACTCTGTTTACTTGCAGACTCCATCCTCTTTTCTATGTAAGGGTGATAATTTTTGCCTGTATTCACTGGCTCAGTCAAACCCAGAATAGCAAATAACATGGTAAAGGTGTATAAAGAAGTGCAAGGTAGTTAGGTTGTGGCTCCCCACTGTCATGCTGATGATCAAATGTTTGACTGTGACGTGTTCTTTAGAACCATTTTGGAAAGCAGATGTCTAAACTTAAGGCTTTTCATTGGAGTTGTGTGCTCAGATTTTATCACCGTATGCTTTTCATTTTTAAGATACACAGATATATTTTGCTTTTAACCTTGCTGGACCTTCTCTTTGGCTGGCCAAGATGATTGTCCTGTCTGTCCCTTAGGAATCAGCGGTGTATTGGTATGGAAAAAGCAGTAGGCCGGCAGACCTCGTTCAGTCCATTTTTAGTATGTGTGACCTTTTGCAAGTTAATTTTCTCCGGTCCCTTCATTTCCTTATCAGTAGATCAGAGAAGTTGGACAAGAAAATCTAAGATCCCCTGTAATTCTCATTCCATGAATGTGTGAATGTGAGAAGTCCTGCACCCACAAAGGAGTACCCAACCCCTCTTTAACCCCTGTGGATACCTCTCTGCTTTGAATCACCTACTCTACATTTGTCTATAGAAAGCACTTGGGCATTTAATGTAAATGACCTCACAGCATTACTGAATTGTTTCATGTGTTTATGTCCCATCTCACAAATAGCAGGGACCATGTCTTCTGTGATGTTTGTTTCCTCCCCAGTGCGGTGAAAAAGAGGGCTCAGCCTCAGAAGCTTGGTCTTAGGAGGCCAGAAGAACAAAGCTCTGTTTTCTTTCTAAAGGCTTTGGCGCATTCCATATTATGGCTCTGTCTTCATCTAATGAATCCCCTGTGGATGGTCACTTAGGTCATTTGGGATCATTCCCTGTTACAAACAATACTTTGATGAATGTGTATGTAAGTCTTTGCCCTCTCTTATGAGTATGCTTTAGAGTTAATTCCTAGAAGCAGAATTATCTGTCAAAAAGTAGATGTTTCGTTCTAGTATCTGTTGCCAAAACGGAAAGATAAAAGCAAGTCTGGGTGCCAGTCCTCGTTATATAACCTTCAGGTGGGTTGCTTGGCCTCCTTAGGCTTCCATTCACTCAGCTGTAAATGAAGATAATTAGGGCATTTTACCTCCCGTGACTGTAGTCAGGTCCTGGCTGTCATGAACGCTGGTATGTAGTAGGCGCTCACCAAGTGTAAGTGTTGGTGCCCTTATTCCTTAATCTGTGATGGTAATGTTTCACTGGTTGTAGAAATGTACCTTACCTTTTTCTTTTCCTTTCTTTCATCAGCTATGACTCAAGACCTGAGATAAAGGAAATCTGCTTTTGGAAAATAGGAGCACTTTTTTCCTTTGGTTGGATTCTTCCCCACAGCCAGTGAAAACAGAGCACTGTATTTCTTCTCACTGTTGTTCCCAAGACAGAATGGCAGACAATCCTAGACTTCCACCGCCGGCAGGGTGTCGCGTAGACACGCCTGCACGTGATGATCGCACAGTGAAGGTCTAGAGACAGAGTGGTGGTGTTTACATTACTAGAGAATTACTAGTTTTCCAATGGCAATAACCCATGTGTGGAAGAGTGTTACTCCACTGGGATAGGCAGGGGCCACACGCTATGGGAGACGCAGAGGCGTAGAGCCGGTATTTGATGCACCTCCCTTGGTGGTGACCCACCCCAACAGCATCAGACAGCGGGTACCAGAGGGGCCTCACTTGGTCTTCTGAACAGGCAGGTGAGTCGGCCCCTCAGGAGCCAGGCAGTGTGGTGCCAGCAGGTGGCTTTTCTTCCGGGGAGCGGGGTCTGCGCAGAGGCGTTAATTTGGAAGGAAGCTAACGGGCCGTGAGTCAAGTCTTGGTGACGTTGTCCTCCCCTTTGGTGACAGTGTATGGTTTTCACGTTTTAATTGCTCCTGAGACGCAGTACTCTTAAAACCAGCTCCCCCGCTGCCGGAAGGGCGAGCCTCTGCACTGCAAGTGGTAGGACTTGCTCCTCCGAGATTCTGGGCTCCGGTGACGTCACCTCCCCTCAGAGTACTTGTGGAAAGGGATGTGCAACAGCCATCACTCCAGTTTTCCCCTGTGGTTCCTTGAACAAAATGTTTATTCCCAGATTGTAGAGTTTTTAAAGAAGGTGGGCGGGCAGGTGTGGGGACAGAGAGGCACTCAGTTCTGACTCTCTCCTCTTCTTTGCTCTGCGCTGGGAAATGTGCAGGTTGTGGCCTTTTTCTTCTGTCTGTGGGGCAACGAGAGGCCCCTCCCTGCACTTCCACTTGGTCAGCTTCAGGGTCTGGACCTCGCTGCCATGGGCGGGGCCGCCCTGTCAGCCAGCACACTCCATGCAGGCGGTGCCAGTGCTGCCTCACCACACGGACTGTTGGAGGGAAAGAATGTTCTCTTAGGTGTTACTGCTTGTGCTCAGACTTTGCAAAAAATACATATATACACATATGAATATATAATTATCACCTCTGTCCTTGAGAAAGTCTTGAATGAACAGAGAATTTATTCCACTGCAATATTTGGTTGTATAGATATGCACTGTTTCATCAACAGAAGAAGCAGAAAGGCTGTGTATGAGTTTTTGGTACTATGTACCACCTCTGTTATTCTTCTAAAGTGAAGTATTCATGTACTTAAACCATATTCTATTTAATTGTGTTTGATTTTAAAATATATATATATGAATTATATTTAAAATTGTGTCAACTTTCTGCTTTCAGGGCATTTATGGCTCCTCTGTTGAGATGTGTTGATTCTTCCCAATATTTCCATTTGCTTTACAAGAACCCAGAACATGAGCCACTCCTGGACTCAGCCTTGTGTTTGGAGCGTATGGCATAGACCTGAGGTGTTATTAGATGCATATGCTGTGATTGACTCACTTTGTTCTTTTAACAGAATATTTCCATCCACTTCACTTTGCTTCAACCTTTAAATAACAGAAAAGCAATATAAAGGTCATAGAATAAACTGGTTTTGGGTGACTCTTGCTGCCTCTGCATGGTTTGAAATAACATTTTCCGTAAGACTCTAGGCTATTTAAGCTAGTGCTTTCAGTTAAGATACTGTCCAGTCATGTCTTTGTGTGCATTGTGTGCTTCGGAGCTAGAGATGTCGGTAGTTGTAAGGTTCTTAAAAGGAAAAGAATAGCAAGTTTGAGACTGAGTTACTTTTTCTGCCCCACCCACTGTAGGACACAGAAGCAAAGTGTGGCCTGAAACTGGTAGCCAGACGAGACATATGCTCTCACGGAGCTCCTTGCGCTTATTTTCAGATCAGGATTGGAATCATCTGAACTCGAGTGCCAGGCTCTGTGTGGTGTGCCCACAAAATAGGATTCCCTGGCAGGGTTTTTATAGGTGCAGTGAATCAGGTGAACATCCGGCTTTATCACGATGTTGACATCAATGCATATTGTTAAAAAAAAAAAAAATGTCAGTGAAAAGGGGTACCTTTTATAACTGGGCGTGTCTTCATCACTCATGTAAGATGTGATGAAAATTAAAAAAACAAGTACCAACCTAGCCCAGTGAAGGTCAGTAAAACAGGGAGCAACTTTTTGTAACCTTTTCTGCTTGGGTTTCAGCTTCAGTACAAGTTTGTAAAATGCCGGTCATTTACGTTTCTGAAGCTTTGGCTAGTTCAGTAAGCATTTGGAGGGGAAGGTCGCTCAGAATAGAAAAGTACAGACGTCTTTGTTTTAAGTACTGATAGCTAAGCACTGCTGAAGCGGCGGGCGCCTCTCTCAGTACCGTGCTGTGGGGCCTTTTGTACACAAGGGCCTCGTCCCTCCCCTCCCCCGCACACCAGTTGATCAGACCAGGGTTGATCTTCTCCCGATCCAAACAGGCCCAAGAACATTCTTTATCCAAAGAATTTTGCAAAGGGCAGGAGACATCCCAGTCCCTGTCTGGGGTGATAGCACGTATGGGGCACTTGCAAGTCAGGACCCCTGAGCCGGTGCCACGTGGACGAGCAGAGATGTGTACAAGCAGAAATGACAGACACGAGAGCAAGTGGGTGAGAGCAGCTGCCTTGTATCCTGGAGGTGGTGAAGGTTTCTGGCTCTAGTCCTGCATCCTTGCCGTGGACTCCATCAGTTCCTCGGGTATCCTTAGGATGCACTTTGGCTTTTTAAAAGTCAGTCTCAAGGGAGTTTTTCCTTTGCACAACCAAAAGGACCTTGACTACAGTACTACCAGATTGATGTAATCACTAATGATCGCATGTGCTCAGCATGTTTGCAAAATACTGGTGAATTCTGGAGAATTTTTCTTCAGTAAACCTTCCTTGGTCATTTTGTATATTCTCTCAAAATGGAATCCTAAACTCACGGAACTAAAAGACACTCCCTCATTTTTCCAGGGGGGAGTTACTCAGGCCTGGGAAAAGGGCAGGTCTTTGGCCTTTTGTTGGATGGTCACCTTCTGGACCAGGGCCTTTGCACGCTTCCCAACTTCCTTCTGAAGGATAAACACCATTCCCACTTCAGCACCTACAATAAAACCCAGAAATAGAAGGGCATTTCTGTTAATGAGTGATAAAAACTTCAAATGAGGGAGGGCAATGATTATCACAAACTTTGTAAGTGCTGACCATTTCTACGTACTAGGCAAGGTGTCTGGGCTTTGGCTGGGGCCGGAAGCAGGAGTAAGTTCCAGCAGGACATTCAAGGTTACAGCTTCAAAGACCCACCAGGACAGCTGCTGTGCGGGGCCCTCTGCAGATGAGCCCTGGGACGCCGCGGAGGCCTCTGCTTGGGCTCAGGAGTAGGAAGTGGGGTCCTCCGCGGACTCGGGGGGTGGGTGGAAAGGGCCAGCAAAAGCCTGGAGGGCGTTCGTGACCACGGAGGAAAGCCCGTCTGCTGCCTGTCAGTGGGAGTTGGAGCTCTTCCCGCTTCGTGGTTCATGCCAACGGGTGTTTCCTCGTCTGGTCCCTCCACGCTGCCTGCTCTGGCTGGCGCACTGCCCGGGCACGATGGGGCACCCACGGGGCTGCTCCTCAGCTGCCCCCGAGGGAGCACTCGTGAGCCCAGGCAGGGGTGGCTGGACCCCGTCGGCGGTGGGCGGGCAGGTGCCCGGATAGAGTGGCTTCCATTCAGCCAAAGGCAGCTGCCATTTGCCAAGGAGCAAGTGAGGGTTGTGACAGTGGCGTTTCCTCGGACGCCTGACTCCCCGATCTTGAATAGCCGCCAGGCTTAGCCCGAAATGACCCCACGCCGGCCTCCACCTCCATCCCGGTAAGAGCCCCACCTGTGGGCACCTCATGGAACGGCCCGAGCTGGGCCTCCAGACCAAGCAGAGCTCCCCATCTTGGCAAAGGGCCCTTTGTTCTTTCTAATGAGAGAGCTGCCGGGTTAGCAGGTGTTCACCTACAAAGTGTTGATGGTGCAGGGATGCAGGAAGGGGTAAAAAAAACCTCTGGGCCCCCTGGAGCTTCCATTCTACCGAGGAGGTAGAGGTTGGAGCTTCATCTGAAGTGGGTGCTGGTATTTTTCACTCAAGACAGCCCTTTGTTTTTATTTATTTTTTTTTTAATTTTTTTTTGCGGTACGCGGGCCTCTCACTGCTGTGGCCTCTCCCGTTGTGGAGCACAGGCTCCAGACGCGCAGGCTCAGCGGCCATGGCTCACGGGCCCAGCCGCTCCGTGGCATGTGGGATCTTCCCGGACCGGGGCACGAACCCGTGTCCCCTGCATCGTCAGGCGGACTCTCAACCACTGCGCCACCAGGGAAGCCCCAAGACAGCCATTTGAGCCAGTGATTTAACACCCTCCCAAAGCCCTTCCTGGCAGAGGTCACCAGGTTTCGTGACCTCTTGCCCGCGCCCTTCCACGTGCCCCCAGAGGGCCGGTGGCTGTGCGGCTCCATTTCCTCGCCGTCACCTGGCTGACAGCGAGGGGTGGGCACCTTGACCCCGGGCCCTTCAGGCTGCTCTCTGATTCGGGTGGGCCTAGGAGCAGCCACAGCCCCGTGGGGCTCTCTGTAGAGCTCCGGGAAATGTGGAGCCTTAGAAGCTAGAAACAAGGGGACCAATGTAGAGTTATTACACGCAGGTGATATAAAAACCCCAAGCTTGGAAAACCCAGCTCCCTACTGAGCTGATGCCAAGAGGTGATCAGCCCCTCCCGAGTTCTCCTTTCACGAGAATAACCAGCACTTGTGTACTTGCCGTGTGCCGGCCTCTCTCTCAGGTAACCCGTGTGACAATCTTCTAAGCGTGTACTTTTCCCTCGTTGTAAATGAGGAGACTGAGGCTCTGGAGGCAAAGGAATTCTCCAGGGGAATCAAGTCCAGGCAGCCATTAAAAACATTCCATTAGCTTAAAGCAGCGGTTCTTAACACTTGCGTGTGCATCAGGATGCCCCACAGAACATGTTAAAATGGATTGCTGGGCCTCCACCCCTCCCCCCTGCCCACAGTTTCTGAGTTGGTAGGTCTAGGGTGGAGCCTGAGAATGTGGATTTTAGCAAATTCCCAGCTGCTGCTGCTCACAAGACCACACTTTTGAGAATCACGGCCTTAGAACCTGTCCTGTAAATTGGGAAACACATGTTTTCATTCCCTTCTATTGGGCCACAGAAGTGTAATTTGAGATCTATTACTCATTCACTCAAGCACATAAATCCTTTATCAGTATTCAGGTATTTGTCAAAGCCGAGGGGACCCAGACACCAACCCGCTGTCTCATTGCCTGGGCAGGTCTGAGGCCGTCCAGGCAGGTGTCTCCCCCGGGGGTGCGGCTTGGAAGAGGCCCAGACCAGCCTCAGCCCCCCAGTGCATTTGCTGGGGACAGTGCACGTGTCCTCCCTTCAGGGCTGAGTCCGGGCTGGTGGGTCACACCAGGGTCCCGGTGGAAGCTTTTGCACAAATCCTGCCTGGTCCACTTCCTTCCAGCTTGTCCCCCAGGTCCTCGATGCCACCTGCCCCTGAGGCCCTGACCAGGCCTCTCCTGCCCCCTCTCCATTGCTGCCTCTTTTTCAGGTCCCTCCCGCAGGGCTCGGGTGCCTTGTTCCCCTTCCTCTGTCTTCTCCCTTCAGCACACGCTTCCTGGGGGCCAGCTGTGGGCGTGTCCCCAGAGCAGACACTGCCCACCCTCCTTGCTGCCTAGGAAACAAACCCTGACACATTGCTGGGGTGAGTGACCTGCTGGGGGCAGCCTAGGTGGACCCGAGTTTCATGGACTCCTGATCGCAGTCTTGCCCTGGAACATGCCCACTGTTTGTTCCCTCAAGACTGTACCCTCCCCTCCCCTCCCCCAAATGGACCAGGACTCCACATCAGCATCGCCCATGACTGCCCACTGCTGGCCCAGCCCTGCCATGTCTGTGCTCCACATCCTCCGTTACTGCCTGAGGAGGCTGTCCTCTTATCTTCTTACCCAGCTCGGGTCCACTCGCCCGCGCACAGCATGGCCAAGCCACTGACACAGGGTGAAGGAAAGTGCAGCATTTACTGTAGAACCCCAAGCAAAGAACTGGCAGCTCTTGCTCTAAAGACACAGGGCTTTCAGGGAAGGGTTTTAAAGACAGGGTGAGGGAAAAGGTCAAGGGGTGTGTGATAAGCTTGTGCACAAGTCTCTGGTTGGCTGGAGGTGTGGTAACAGGGTGGTGGCTCAAGAATCTCAGTCATCAGCCTTCTGGTTCCAACCTGTCTGGGGTCTGTGTGCTGGTGGTCAGCATGCAGCTAACTTCTTCCACCTGGTGGGGGTTTCAGTATCTGCAAAACAGCTCAAGGATACGGCTCAGGATGTTACCTATAGCCCTTGAGGAACTAAAGGTCTTTTGGCTTTGTTCTATGGCTAAACTATTACTATTTTGTTCTGTTTGACTGTTTCCTTTTGGTTTTGCATTTTCTCACTTCTCTGATTAAATCTGCTCTTTGGACCTCGGGGAAGGCCTAGGAGGCTAAAGCTTTTCATCAGACAAGAGGTGGGGGACACGGGGGTGGGTCGGTCCCGGGAAGCCCCTGCGGGGTCCTGCCCGGCCCACTCTGGCTCTTTCTTCGGAGCTTTCATCCCTTTCTCACCCCTACCCCAGCAAACTGCACTGTCCATGATGGCGACCCCGCCTGGGGCTCTCCAGTCACACCCATGGCCAGACTGTCATCTCCTGCAACTGCTCTACCTCTGGTTTCCCCTCACATTTCAGCCCCCGGCAACCTCAAGCCATGCAAGCTTTGCAGGGTTACAGATGCCTCCTATTGGAATGGGTTGAAAGAGGAGTGAGAAGAAGCTTGCGAGTGATCCCAGGGGTTTTCCCCTCACTGTTACTAGAGTTGGACTTTGTAAACCAGCATCAGAGAGCAAGTTCAAAAGCAATAAGTGAGTAGTTTTGTTATAAGGATGACAAGCGGGGGCTGGGGAGGACCGTGCTGATGTGGGACTTGGGTTAGTCTTCCCAGTACCAGTGTGGGACACGTGTCTCATGCATCGCAAACAACTTAGATACAAGGAGAAACACTTCGAGAAACCGTAGCTCTATCGTGATGAAGACTTTGGTGTCCCAGATGCACATATAGTGTGAATAACATTGTTACTTGAAATGGGAGATGGGGAAAAAAAGCAATATTTTGTACTGATGTATTCTTGTATATAATGTTATTTTAAATATGCATGTGTAACTAAATAAATTAGATATTATAACTAGACATCTGACTATTTTGTCAACATTCCAAAAACTTTAAACTCAGATTGATACCTTACTTTTTTTTTTTTTTTTTTTTTTTTTTTGTTACGCAGGCCTCTCCCTTTTTTTGCCTCTCCTTTTGCAGAGCACAGGCTCCGGATGCGCAGGCTCAGCGGCCATGGCTCACGGGCCCAGCCGCTCTGCGCCATGTGGGATCTTCCCGGACCGGGGCACCACGAACCCGTGTCCCCTGCATCGGCAGGCGGACTCCCAACCACTGCGCCACCAGGGAAGCACGATACCCTACTTTTTTTTTTTTTTTTTAATTTTTTCTTTAGGAAAATTGGGGCTTGCCTTAAATATAGAATCACTTATATCATTCATTACCTCCCTGTGGTCTGCTGAATAAAATCCAAATTCCTTATTCAGCACTGAACGCCCTGGCTGACCCAGCCTCCAAGACCTTGGAACCCTAGACCCTTAGCTCCGCCTCCCCACACTCTTCCCCTTTGGGGTTCTGCAGACTTCCCCCCTACACTCTGCCTCAGGAAGCCCTTCCCCTTCAAAGACTCACTCCTCCCCCTCCTCCAAGACCCTCCCTGATGTCCGGTCCCCCTGAGTCCCCCAAGCACATCCTCACACAGCATCCAACTCGGCCTTATCGCAGCTGGGTCCTGGCCCTGTCTGTCCCACCCAATGTGCGCGAGCTTTTCCCAGGGAAGGGTCCCAACCAGGGAGCGTTGCCCAGGAGATGCTGGGGAAGAAAAGAGAAAATTCGCTTTAAATGTACCAGTCACAGCTCGTGGTCTTCCTGGGCTCATCTGCCCAGAATCGCGACCAAGGCCTCCCATGCCTTAGGGGCTGAAGGGGTCCCTACCTGCTGGCGGCAAGAGGCTGACGTTGAGGTAGATATCTCAACCCAGGTCCAGCAGCTCACAGGTTGCCCAAGTGTCCTGAGACCCTTTCAGAAGGTCTGCAAGGTCAAAACTATTTTCGTAGTAACACTAAGACGTGAATTGTCTTTTTCACTATGTGAATATTTGCATTGATGATGCAAAAGCGATGGTGACCCCCTAGCAGGAATCTGGACACACTGTGCCAGTGGTCACCGTACTCTTCCCCGCCAGGCACTTGCCATTTAAAAAAAAAGAGCCAGTTTCCCATAAGAGTGTCTTGATGATGCAGTAACAATGATTAATTTTATTAAATCTCAACCCTCAAGTGCCTGTTTTTAATGTTACGTGGGACAACACGGGAAGGACACAGGAAGCCCTTCTGCACAGCGAGGGGTGATGGTTGTCTCCCGGGAAGCTCTGGCCACCCGCCGTGGACCCCCGTGAGAGCACACTCGACAAGCCGGTTATTCAGGCTTGGGTTTTGCGAAGACATTTTCGTGAAAATGAAGGAAGCGGGCCTATCACTTTGAGAAGAAAACACTGCCGGTATTTATTATATTATTGCCCGGGATGAAATTTGAGTTTTCAAGCAAAAACTAGAATGGTGGAAAACTGATATTCACCACGGCGGCCTTGATAGCTTCCCTTCCTGAAAGACGTTTCTGATGAGATCTAATATATGTGTGATTTTTTAAAATATTGTACGATGAAATGTGTCATATTTGGAAAAGCAGCGTAACCCAATGAACCAATATTTTCCAAATGACCGACGCATGATGCACAAAACAACAAGTAGGTGAAAGATTGGTTCAACGTGTGAGACCCACCCATAGGGTATGAAGGATTCCGAGATGAGAAAACCTGAGAACTGCCCCACTGGTCCAACCTCAGGCCGGTGGAAGAAGCCACACCCAGGAGGCCAGACCTTATTTGCACTGTGCTTGTTTGAATGAAAGTAGGTTTGATTCCACATGGTGCTATATCCTTGCTGGGGGGTCTTCGGCCTTTCCCTCACCTCTCTGGGCCTCTGTGCCTTCTGTAGAAACGGAGATCGTGATTCTTCAGAAACAGGTGGTGGCAGAGAGGGTTCGCTGGCACGGGAAACATTTGGTAGTGCAGTCGGAAGGTCTGGATGACGTACGATGAAGAGGCTGGAGAGCTAGTTTTCTTTGGTTTAATTACAGAGACAGACCCGCCCTAATCATCTCCTAACTAAGGCTGCCCTCAGGGTGCAAATCAGCGGCTTTGTGTGCAGGCCCTGGGCTTGTGTGCAGGCGCTGCTCCTGAGAGGCGAGAGGCTTTGTTTACAGTCCTGCTGTAATCACCAGGTGTGGGGAGAACTGCTGATCCGAGGTCTTCAGCCAGCACAGGAGGAAGTGAGCGTTCTGTCCTGAGCGCAGGGCACCAGGCCACCTCCTCTGCCTCTGGGAGCCCCCGTCTGAGGTCAGCGGCACAGCTGGCGGGCCAGCCTCTCAGGAAGGAAGCTCGAGGAGGCTGGGAGCCTCTCTCGAAGCAAGAAGCAGAACCACAGGCAACAAGGACCAAGACTGTGCACGGGGTCTCGGAGCAGAAAAGCAGAGGTCAGCGGAACTAGATGCAAAGCCCAAGACACAGGCGAGGTCAGCCCAGCATGGGGGGTGTTGGCAGGAAGTGGATGGGGGAGCAAGCGGCCCTGCTGTCATCCCCCAGGGGACTCACCACACCTGATCTCATGAGCCCCGAGGGCCAGGGTGTCAGTTTCAGGGACAGTTCACTTTAATCAAGCTCCCACAGGCTGTAACACACAAATACAGGTCAGAAGCCCTCTTACTGATTTCTGAGGAAAAGTTCAACTGTCAAAAAGTAAACCAAGGACTTCCCTGGTGGCGTAGTGGTTAAGAATCCGCCTGCCAATGCAGGGGACACAGGTTCAAGCCCTGGTCCGGGAAGATCCCACATGCCGTGGAGCAACTAAGCCAGTGTCCCACAACTCCTGAGCCCGCGAGCCACAACTACTGAGCCCGCGTGCCACAACTACTGAAGCCCGCACACCTAGAGCCTGTGCTCTGCAACAAGAGAGGCAACCGCAATGAGAAGCCCGCGCACCACAATGAGGAACAGCCCCTGCTCGCCGCAACTAGAGAAAGACCGCACACAGCAACGAAGACTCAACGCAGCCAAAATTTAATTAATTAATTAATTTTTTTAAAAAAGTAAACCAAAAAGAGCATTTGACACAATCCAACATGCCTTCACGATAAAAACTCTCAGCAAAATAAGCTACGAGGACATATTGTACAGCACACGGAATGTAGCCAATATTTTATAATAACTATAAATGGAGGATAACATTTAAAAATTGTGAATCACCGTATCGTACACCTGTAACTTATATAATATTGTACATCAACTAGACTTCAATTAAAAAAAAAAACGCTCAGCAAAGTAGGAAGAGAGGGAAACTTCTCTCAACTCTGATGTTTTTCCAACCCCACAGAATGCACCACAGCAGGGGTGAGCCTCATGTCAACTCTGGGCTCTGGGTGGTGATGACGTGTCCACACAGCTTCATCAGTGGTAACAGATGTACCCTGTGGTGGGGTGTTGATGCTAGGGGAAGCTGTGCGTGCGTAGGGGCAGGGGTATGTGGGGAATCTCTGCTTTCTGCCCAATTCTTTAACTGAGATAGAGTTGACGTTTAGCATTGTGTAAGTTCCAGGGGCATGACACGGTGATTTGATGCACTTATATTGCAACATGATTGCCACCGTGGCGCTGGCTAGTTGGCTAACACAGCGGTTGCATCATACAATCATCGTTTCTTCTAGGGGTGGGAACAACTTCTGCTCAGTTTTGCTGCTGTGATGTTGTTCTTTCCTTAAAAACCTTACAAAGGCTTCTCATCTGCCCCAGGAACCTGTGGGACCCTACAGCCTCCGGCCAGTTTTCCCTGTGACGTCATCTCCAATCACTGTCGCGGGTCCACTCAGCCGCAGCCATGCTGGGATACAGGCACACCCCTCCCTCAGGGCTTTTGTACCTGGAATTCCTCCACTCTACATGGATCACAGCCTCACTTCCTTCAGGTCTTGGCTTCGATGTCACCTCAGTGAAGTCATTCCGGGTCACCTTTTCTTAAATTGGGCCCCTCCCCCCATACTTCCTCCCTCCCTCCCAGATTTAGTTCCCTCCTTGGTCCCTGTCACTAGCTAACCTCCTAGCTATTTTATTTATCCTATTTATGGTCTGTTTCCCCCGCTAGAGAATAAGCTCCTCAAGGGTAGGCACTTTTTCCATGTCGTCTTCTCATAAACACTTGTTGGATGAATGAAGAAGTGAAGTGTACAGTGGATGAGAATGCTTGTATCAGGAGATCCTGCAAAGCCACCAGAGAGCCAAAGCCCCAGCGGTACTGAGTGAGCTGGACCAAAGCCAGGGTTACTCTCTGACCTTGGGTAACAGTGTTGGAGGCCCTCACCCATCGAGGCAACTGAAAATCCTAACCCTCTGTCTCCTTGACTCCACTTTTTTACTCTTCCTAGGTTCCCAGCCCCTCTTTGGTTGGCATAGGCTTTCTTTTCTTCCTTCCTTCCTTCCTTCCTTTCTCTTTTTTCTTTCTTTTCTTTCTTCCTTTCTTTCTTTCTTTTTCTTTCTTTCTTTCTTTCTTTCTCTCTCTCTCTCCCCCCACCTCTCTCTCTCCCTCCCTCCCTCCCTTCCTTCCTTCCTTCCTTCCTTCCTCTTTCTCTCTTTCTCTTTCTTTCTTTTTCAGGAACTGCCAAAGTTTTCGTGTTTAACAGCACAACTGACCAAGGTCCAAGATGTGAAGTTACCGTGTTCAGGAAACATGGGGGGGGCAGGGGAGGGAAATCACTCTATAAACTAACTATATAACATGTGCTGAAAAAATGCACACTTTCGAATATAAAACATGTCCATGCATAGTAGTTAGCTGCAAAAAGCCATCTGGCTTCTCTTGGCTTGTAGAAAGGGTGCTCCAGATTCCAGTGTAAATGAGCACCACTCAGCTCTTCTGTGCAGCGGGGGTCTTGTCTTCACCATCCAGCTCTTCCCCCCCAGCTTGTATCACGAGGTCTGCGATGTTTTTCTCCGGGTCATCCATGCGACTGCTCATGTCCTCAATTCTTCC